GGCGGGGTGTGGAGGAAGAAGGCTCAGCGTATTTAAGTCAGAGCTGAATATTAGATTCTAGTCACTATTTGATTGATCTTTTAAGCAATTCTGGGATTCTGTCACTTAAAAACCAATAAATCTTTGAAGGCCTGGGGAAAGCAATGCAAAAGCAATAAATCTCTATTGCGGAGTATTAGAAATATAGGCCAAGCAGCCGACGTGGTTTGGCGGGAGAGATGAGGGTGTGGGAGCCACACACACCAATCTTCCTCTCCACCCCTCCTTGCCTCCCAGCATGCTCAGTTCAACCAGGAGGAGCCAGAGCCACGGGGCCCCAAAGGGGCAGCAAGTGGCCGAGCAGGGGCTGGAGCTGGGCTGAGCCAGGGCCAGAGCGCTGCTGGCAGAAGGAGGAGGAACAGCCTACCTGGGTGACCGCTGGAGGCTGGGGCTTAGCTATGCATCTATTTGGGGACAGGCAGACTCTCCACCTAGAGAGGGACATGCTGAGGTTCACAAGTTACAGGCTAGGCCACACGACCCAGAGCTGAAGGACCCTGAGAAGTCCTTTTGCCTCCCCCTCACATCCTTATTGTTGGAGGTTCACTCCACAGCCTCCCCATTGAAAGGTTACCCAGTCATCACGTGACATCCCAGGCACAGGAAACTCACCACCTTCTGGGAGGAGCCAGGTCCGTGTCCTGGCTGTACATGTAACAAGCTTGGTGACCTTGGACCAATCATTTAACATCTTAGAACTCAGCTGCATCCTCTGAAATGGAGATGATATTTCCCATCCAGCGTACTCACTGCATACATGGCCATCAGATGACACAATGCAATGAAAGGACCTATCACTGTAAAATATGATTCCAGGCACCCTTGGTCCAACGCATCCTGTGAACATTTTGTGCCTGATGGTCAGAGCTTTGTTGTTTTCTCAGTGCTCCTGCTTCCCCCAACCTGCAGGGCTCCACACTGGCCACCGGCGCTCATCTCTCCAACCAGTTTATTCCTCCCCTCAGCCAAGGCAGTCCCTGTCCTCACTGGACTCACATTATCTTGTTGGGTCAGTTTCATGAACTCCTTTGCTTTCTTGTGTAATGCAGAACCTCCAACCCCATCCACAGGCAACAGTTTCTGGACGATAAGCCTGAAGAGGACAGGTATGCACCTATCTTGTTTCCTGCTATAGCCTGCCTATCTCCTGTTCCTGGGACATGGCAAGTGCTCAATAAATATTCATTGACTGACTTACTGTTCAACTGCCTCCCATGTGGGCATGTTAGTGCCCTGAGTTCAAGGTGAAAAAGAGTTAAGGCAACTGAAATCTACTGTGATATCGCCACTGCTGTCATTGCAAGTTGTCCTGAAAGTCTTGCAAAGTGGCATTGGTGAGTCTCTTATCCTCCTTGGCAAACGCCCAAGCAATAGTCTGAAAATAATTCCAGAAATGCAGTGTACCCATCCTCAATGATCCAGAAGCTTGGGAAGAAAAGCAGCCAGACATTTCCAGACACCATGCATTGCCCCTTTGAGCAGTGACATTTATTTTAATTTTTTTTTAAAAAATTTGGAAATGTCACCAAAATATATCATGCATAACTCTCTCCTAGGGAGGTGGTGCTGTGTAGTGGAGTGAGTGTTGGTTTGGGGCCAGCTAAACTGGGTTTAAATTCTGCCTGCACCGTTTCCTTGTCTTGTGGTCTGGGTCAACTCACTCAGTGTCTGTGTACCTCAGTTTCTACATCTGCAAAGTGGGGAGACGATCACTGCAATGCTGCGAGCACACAGATAGTTTATAGTGAGAGGCACACAGCAAGCCCTTGCTCATCAGGTGCAAGCTAGCAGGTTCTCTTTACTTGAAGACGTGGACCCTAATGCTACATTTTGGGGGTGAGCCAGGAACAATGAATGAACAACCATGGCGGTGAGGAGCTGCAGCATGTAGACCTGCGTATTCCGGTGTCGGTTTTCTAGAGTTTTCCTGCTTTCTGCTCCCTGCCAACTGTCATTTTTTCACTGCTACTGGGGCATTTCCATTCTGTGGTCTCAGGATGCATGGGATTACTAAACAGATGGGCATCCTAAGAGGATGTAGGCGCCTAGGGACTGGGTAAGGGGCTTCTCTTGTGGGAACTGGAAGGGCTTTCCCAGGAACATTGGTTTGGGCTGCTCAGAGGACCCCTTTGCTGTCTCTGCAGTCAGACGGGCCTGGGTGTTAGTCCCGGCTTCACCACTTACAGGTTCTGTGACTGAGCTTCAGTTTCCTCATTTCCGACAGAAAAGTGCTACTCATACGTTAGTCAAGGTTAAATTCTTGGACCACAGAAGTTGCCCAATAAATCATGGTACTAATTACTTTGGTGAGTTTTTAGAGGTTCGCAGACTTACAATCTGATTTGTCTTGAGGATGGGACCCTAATCCTCAGTATAAAATTTAACTTTAAGCAGCCACTGGGCAGAACCCAGATTGGTTATTTCTTAGTACAATTTTTTAAAGAAGCTTTTCAGAAACTTTATGTTGGAAAAAAGTTAGGGGACCTTCAGGAAAAAGCAAAAGTCCTTCCCTCTGCATCATAAAATCAGGGTCTCAGAAAAGCTTTGGACATTTGACTAGGAAGGAAACAGGCAGCTCTGTGATCTTGTAATGGGAACGATTTTTCAAAAATCATTTTGAACAGAACTTCCTAAGTTCCAAAGAGAAGAAGCAAAGCTAACAAAGGAACGAGCTCTCTGAGAGCCTGCCTTGCTTTGGCTTCTGCATTTCAGCCAGGCTCTGTGAAATAATGACCCTCCGTACTTTCCAGATGAGGAAAGCTCAGGTTCAGAGACATTAAGTAACTTGTCCAAGGTCACACAGCAGTGTCAGTGTTAGAGCAGGATTTGAACCCAGGTTCTCTGCCACTAAGCTCACATCCTTTCCACTGCCCCATCCAGCAGCCAGAAGGCTATAGGGAGCTGGATCCACACCCACCAGGAGCCACTGCAGTGCCAGCTGATCAGGTCCCTTTGCTCACAGGTCTGTGGGCTTGTGGGATGAAAGGGGACACCTGGATCTCCTATATAAAGGTCATGGGTTTGGGGTCAGCTGCTAACTTATCATGCAACATCGGATACACTGTTTCTCTTTTCTGGGCCATAGTTGGCCACCTGGAAAGCTTGCTAAGATTTTGAAACATGGCCAGTGCTGCTGTGTGAGAGAGGTAAGAGCTCTGAAACCTGAAACGGAGTGGGGCATGGGTGGCCAGAATGGAACGTGTGACTTGGTACCTGGAGGACCTGCATTCAACCTCAGCTTTCCTACCTAATGTCTGTCTGCATGTGGGAATTTCTGAGCCTCAGTTTCTTCATCTGAAAACGAGGATAATAGTATGGCAGTGTATAGGCAGAATTAAATGACGATGTTGCAGGAAAGGAACAGGGATAAAAAGCAAGTAACTCAATAACTATTAGATGTAAGAGACACCATATGCTTTGGCTCATCATGGCCAGGACGGACCTGGAACAACCCACGTGAAGAATGCAGGGAAAAAGTTTTCAGTTCAGGTGCTGCACACACATTCATACACACAAACCTGCTGCGAGGCCTGAAGATTCACCTGGCTTAGGACAGAACATTGTCCAAAGTCCACGGAACTGAGGGCGACCTCCCAATTCCCCTCCATTGACTCCATCTGCCGCCAGGCCTATCATTTCTGGGTAGAGCTGGATCCGGTTGGAAAACAGATAACTAGACCATCTCGAAAGCCTCCTTCCTGGCAGGTCTCCCCGTCTCCAGTCTCACAAAAGTGACACCGCATGTGGCTGCCCAGTGGCCCCCCGTGGCTCCTTAATCACGCCCGAGCATCTCAGACACGGCCCCCCGAGTCACCCCACCACCCCTGCCGTAACCTCTACACTAAAGCGAACTTAACCATTCCCGGTTGCTCCCAGGGCAGCAGGCTGCTCCCCTCCCCCATGCCTGTGCCCAGCCTGGACCCACTCACTGCTTTGCCAAAATCCTGCATGACAATTAAGATCTAGCTCAGTGTCGCCTCTGCTGGTAATTCTCCCCTCTGAACTCTCGTAACAACCTGTGCATGTCTCCATAAGTGCTCCCTGCATTCTAATTATGGTTTCATGTTTCTGTCCCCCCAACTAGAGATTGGCTTCCTTTTAGACCATGAGTCATTCATGGCTAGTTCACGGCTACCGTATCCTGAGCAGTCAAACAGCCCCTGGCACAGAGTGCTGCTCAGTGAGGAGTTGTTGGATGAATATATAAATGGATGGTTTTTATCCCCTGGGCCCCTCCCCCTTCTGGGCATCTAAGCTGCTCGGTGCATGCTTGTTGGACTGGACTGAGCCCGTTTGAAAGCTGTTTCACCCAACACTCTGCTTGATTTCAAGGGACTGTAGTCCTTTGATCGCTAAGCAAACCAATGTGGGAGCTGCTGCCCTTGAGCAAAGTGTAGCTGGTGTAAAAGAGATGCCCACCTTGCTGACAGCCATGAGCCATGACCTTGCACTGGGACGGCTTAGTTACTGAGAAGCTTTCATTGCCTGAGCCCTGAGTATGCTCCTGAGCTCCAGCAGTGTCTTGTGAAAATCAGCAACACGGCTTTGACTTCAAGCCCCTCTGCGGGACCCCAGCACACAAAGGCCCAACCTGGGACCAGCCCAAAGGTCTGGCTCCATTCACAGTCATCTGACCATGTGTCTGTTAATATCAGCCAGACATGGAAAGGAGACCGTGTTCCCAGGCTTCTAACCCACTAAATAAATTTACCATAGATGTGTTCCAGAAAGTTCTCTCCCAGCCCTACTCATATCCCCATCAGCGTGTTCCCTCTGAGTCAGTTCCAACAGCCCACTGAGCAGAGTGAGGCTCCTGGGCTCGGGCTGCTGACCCTCTTCCTCCAGGGAGCCCGGTTCCTGGCCAGCCATGCCCATGGGCACCGACGGGCACAGGACTAGCTGGGAGGTGTGCCTGGTGCAGAGAGGGAAACCGTGAGTGCCGGGTGCAGCAGCCTCCTCACCTGACGGGGGCTCCCCTGGACTGAGCAGGCTTCAGCATCACCGTGATGGTCGTGTCCGTCTCGTTCAGCGGGGTGTCTGTGTCGTACTCCGGCATCGACGGAGCTGGGCGGAGAGAGCAAAGAGTGCGGAGCTCAGCACTGGGCCCAGACCCCGCTCACCACCTCCCCTCAATGCCGTCCCTAAGGACGCTCAGGAGCTCAGGATGCCTGCGAGGGGGACCTTTGGGAAAGGCTCGGCGAGAGTCACACGGCCTCCCAGGCTTTCAGCAAAGGAGGTCCTGACCTCTGACCTGCCTGAGGGCTCCTTCAAGGTGCAGAAGAGTCTGGGGAAGGGTGGCTGGCAGTGGTGTGGCCAGTAACCCTCATGCATCGAAAGTCCCACACCAAATACACAGATAAACACAGGGAAAATAAGTGCTTCATGAAGATGTGCACGCAGCCAACCTTGTTAAGCACACTTGAAATGCACACTTCAGCAGTAATGAAGTAATTCTTATCTTTTTTTTCTCATGAGACCCTGCCTCTTTCATCCCCAGCTGACAGGAGTGCCACTGAATCTAATCCCTTGGGAAGGTAATTTAGCCATTTGCATTAAGAGCTATTAAAGTCCATATCCCCTTTCATTCAGTATTTCAATTTCTGGAATTTAATCCCAAAGTTACAATCCAAACCAACGAATTAAAGTTTATTCTGTAACTGTTTATTGAAGTGTTATTTTATAACATCATGGACAATATCCAACCACAGGGGAATGTTTAATTAAATTACGTCCAACCACTTGACAAAACATTAGAACGGAAAGCAATGTAGCAACATTGAAAGTGCTTATGGTATAAACATAAGTGGAAACATTAAGTTACAAAAAAACACCATGGGTTCATTATGCAAAATGTGTATGCGTGCAGACCAGAAGTGCACAGGTATTCCGGAAAAATATGCATTGTAGAAAAGGCTGTGAGATAATTCTGCTTGATGCCCTCTGATGATGGAGGGGCCCTACTGGAGGTGGCAGGTGAAGTCTTGGACCACCCTGGCTTTGTGACATTCACTCATTCATTCATTCATTCATTCATTCATTCACCAGGCATTTCATGAGAACCTCTGCTGTGCCCTGCTTTGCCAAAAGAAATGTTCCTAAAAATAAATCACATTTTTACAAGCCATTGTGTATGAAAAAAAATACTACTTAATACGACTGTGTGGCACATTTTTTGGTGAGTCACTCAGTATCACCTCTGGTCTAATTGATACAGGTTTTACGCTTTAGGAAGTTGGTGCGTTGGGTTTCATCCCGAGGTTTCATCCCGAGGGACTGCACCATCGTGACCCCTCCAATACCAACCACAGGGTCACAGCTGGCTCTGGCCTTTGTCACTCCACAGGAAAATTAGGGACGGGGACACACAAAGCAACGGCCACTTTCTGAGAGCGATACCTGAAATTTTGGTGGCGATCCTCGTGCTGACGGGGGGCCCGAAGCCCTTTGCCGTGCTCGCCTTGATGGTGAAGGAGTAGGTGGTCCCTGGGTACAGACCCACGAAGAGGTGGTGGGTTTCATTCCGGAGCTTGAACACTTTCCCCCTCTGGCTGGAGAGGTCGGCACTCGGGTCGAGGGAGCCCACAGCCTTGTAGTTGATCTGCACGACAGACCAGCAAACAAACCAGTAAACACCTCACCTGGGGCGCTGTGCAGAGCTCAGGGGGAGGGGCCTCGGGGGAGACAGGAGAAGGCACGGGAGCACGTTTGGATGCTGTGGTCCATCTTACAGATCACCCAGCCTCCGAAATCATCGCTGCCACCCCTCAGGGGAATCGCTGCCCAACAGAAATACAGTGCCAGCCACGGCACACTTTCTAATTTCCCAGTGGTCCCATGGAAAGACGAAGAACGTGAAATCCAATCAAATAATACATTCGGTCGAACCTAATTCATATGTGCAAAAATATTATCATTTCCACCTGTAATCAACATAGGAAGGTAATGAGATATTCTATATGTATATTTTGTAATAGAAATAAATATTGTCTGTATTTATTCACACGAAGTCTTAGATATCCAGTGCACAGTGTGCCCTTATGATGCATGCCCGTCTGGACTAGCCACATTTCACAGTGTAGTAGTGGCTGTGGCTGTGGCTAGTGGCCACCGCGTTAGACAGTGCAGCCATAGAGCAGTATTCGAGAGCGGCGTCCCAGTAAGTTATTTGGAAGGCTAGTTAAAAATGCAAAACATAGTGTCACAGGTTCGATTCCCAGTCAGGGCACATGCCTGGGTTGCAGGCCATGACCCCCAGCAACCACACATTGATGTTTCTCTCTCTCTATCTCCCTCCCTTCCCTCTCTACAAATAAATAAATAAAATCTTTTTAAAAAATGCAAAACAGAAACAGAGGCATGGGCACATGGCACAGACTGAGAGCTGTCGGTGAGGAGGGGGGAGTTGGGACTGGGTGAAAGAAGGGATCAGCCAGAGAACACACATGCACGACCCATGGACACAGACGGCAGCGTGGTGATGGCCAGAGGGAAGGCAGGCTGCAGGGGCTGGGTGGAAGTGGACAAAGGGGAGAAAATGGGGACATCGGTGATAACCAGTGTCAACAATAAAAGGAAAAATAAAGAAAGAAATGCAGCTCCTGGGCCCCTCCTCCACAGGGTGCTGCCTGTGACTTCCTCATGCATTATATTGTTTGTCTTCCCGCCACCTGGGGCATCAGGATCTCTATTCTCATTTTAATGAGGGAGACACCGAGGCTCAACTGGGAACCAACTTGTATTAAATCAGCGCTTTTCAAAACGTCTACGGCGAAGGCCCAGGTTTGAGCTCCCTCACCCACTGCAGACCGGTAATAATGCAAAGACCCCATCACACGTGGCTCGTCATGTGAGTCTGGCAATGACCAAACTGGTTTACACTCTGTGCAGGAGGACGTGTCCACTGACCTTGCACTTGGATGTCAAGGCCCTCTAGACGTTTCTAGGCGCTCGCCCTCAAGTGCTGTACTGACCCTGCCGTGAAACTGACAAAACGGCAGCACCCTGGCCCTGGCCCTGGGGGGCGACTCTGAGTATCATTTTTCTAAACGAAACATTTGTTCAAGTGGCAAGTTCGGGATTTTTTTTTGTTTATTTTATCTAGTTTATTCTATTAACATTTATTATTAGAGTATAAAACACATGCAGAAAACTATACAGCTGGATGAATGTTTGCTAACTGAGCACAATCCCTGTTGGAACCCAATCAAGAGAGAGAACATTTCCCGACCCAAGATGTTCCTCTCCCTCCCCTTCAGTCCTTACCCGCCTCCCACGACAGGGATACTTCCGTGGCAGGGATACTCCCGTGGCAGGGATACTTCCCGGGGCAGGGACACTTTCTCTCCTGACTTCTAACAGCGTGGGGGGAGTTTTGCCTGGTTTTGAACTTTATACAAACAAATCACAAGATTTGCTCTTCGTTCAACATCAGGCGTGTGAGACTCACGCAGGCCATGCGCAGCTGCAGACCATGGGCTCGAGGAAGGACTGCTCCCAGACCCCTTAGGCTCTAAAACCTCAGCTCTTGCTTCCCCGCCACCCTGCCCGGCCTGGACACCCACTGCATTAATCAAAGAACGCATTCGTTCTTCGCTCAGTGCTCCTTCAGCAGTGCTTCCTGAACACCCCTGTATTCTAGGACCTGCACCGTGGGCTGCTGGGGCCCCCAGGTGAACACCAGTTGGACCCCGTCCACAAGTGTCTTCTCTTCCAGAGCGAGGTAAGTCAGCTACGTGGCGCCTTCCATCCCTTTGCTTCCCATCCCAAATGCCCCATGCCTGACAGGAAGGCCGAGCCCAGGTGGGAAAGGGAACTCACCAGCTTTACTTCAAACATCAGCAGTTCGCTGTTCCTGGCAAGGGCAGCAAATGTTTTTGGAGAAAGGCAATTTTTCTCTCCCGAAGCCGCACGCCTAGGAGAGAGGCCAGACTCATCCTGGAGCAGAATGAGCCCAGGAGGAGACATGCCCAGCGCTGAAGGACTTGGGCATCGTGCGAGCACGGCCTGGGCCTCTGAGCGCCCCACCCGCGGGTCCCTGGCAGGCCTGGCTGCAGCGTTCCCTCTGGCCACGCCTGCCCACTCCAGCCTTTCTCAGCTAAGCTACTGATATCTGCCTCTCTCTGCTCGAGGGCTTTGCGCCTGGGCGCTGGCAGAAGTGCCGGGCAAATAACACCCACCGGACTGACGGGAGCTGGTGCACACCTTCCCCAGGCTCCTGTCAGCCGTGCAGCATCCTGGGGCATTTTCCTGGGCGGGGAGGGGGGTGGCGGTTCTGCTCCACCGGCCTCCTAAGGGAGCTGCCTGGAAAATACACCCACCACTGGCTACCTTCCTTTCTCTTCCCCACTCCCTAGTGCTTCCTAAACTTCTCGATAAGGCTACCATTCCAATCTTGGTCTCCAGGGTCTGCTTCTGAGAGACACCCAACAGAGACCAAGTGCTCAGGGGGGTGTCTCAAGGGAGAATTGAACTGATCTGGGAGGATGACAGGGATTCAGAGCAGAGGAGAGAGCCTTCTAGGTTCCAGGTAGAGGGAGCCACCTGTGCCGAGGTCCAGGGTGGGAATAGACTGGTGGGAACTGGGAAAAGTCCAGTGAGGCTGGACAGTAGTGAGCAGGTGGGAGAGCTGAGTGTCAGTGCACAGCTGGACTCCAGGGTTCCCTCCTGGCAGAAGAAGGAACAGGCTCTGAGAACTCTGCCTGTGGCGGTTAACCCCAGCCCACAGGTGGAGAAGGCATGAATACGTATCCTGTTGAAAGGATGGCAGCTGCATTGATATACAGGTGCAGGGAGGTAAAACTCATGCCTTAAAAAAAAAAACTAGCCAATTCCTTTTCTGTCCTCCAAATTCAATCCAGAAGCAACTCAATTTCCACCGAGCTGTCAATATAATATACCGTGTTCCCCTGCTCTCCTAACCTTTCCTGGTATTACAGGATTCTCACTTACTTGTAATGAAACACTATGAATAAATCAATGTATGTTAATATAGCGTGTCTTCAATTTTTGATGAAGGGCTTCACCAAGTCTAATCCCCACTGCTTTGTCAGAAACAGTCTTTGAAATATTTAACTTGCAAGTTTTATGAACTTGCAGCTTGTGGCGGTGGCGGGGTCAGGCTGGGGAGGGAGAGGAGGAAGGTGAGAAAATGGAATGGGATGGAGCTGTTGGCCATCCGATGCATAATGCAACGTGAATCTTTGTTTGGAAGGTTTGTGAGAACAGTAAACGTAAAGCAGTAAGTCAGTGGGGGAAAGGGTGCTGAGCGGCATGGCAGCCCTGGCCCCAGGGACAAAGCTCTGGCTGCGACAAGGGGCTTGGGGCCATCCAGTCTCTTTGGTCTGTCAGAGGGGTCCCTAGCCAGGAGCCAGAGTGAGCACTTCAACATGAGCACCCATACACATCACCCCTTAGAATCCCGTAGCTCTCAGGGTTAAGACCACTTTCTTATCCCACGGTCTTCATTAGCTCACTCCATAACTTGGCCTCTCTTGGGCTCCCTCTTGCAATCAGGGCCTTATCACAGCACCTCAAAAGAGCCATGGTCCTCTTGCCACAGGACCTTTGCACGGGCTCTTTTGTTAGCTCAAAACACCTTTTTCCTTCCCACGCCTCCTTTTACCTAGTGAATGACTCCTCTTCCTTAAAACGCTGCTTTTCCTGTGCGCCGTCCCTGACTCCCACCCCCTCCTTCCTTATGTTCCCAGAACCATATCACGTCTCTCCTCTTGGAACCACGAGCTTTACATTTAGCCATGCAGTTATTCCATGACGAGTCCCTTCCCACTCTCTCCAGCGTTGGGAAAGTAAAGCCTTAAAGCCAAATCAGGTCCTTCATCTGTTTCTGTAAATGAAACGATAGTGGAGCCCAGCCCAGCCATTTATTTCTGTATTGTCTGTGGCTACTTATACACCGCAACGGCAGAGTTAAGTAGTCGTGACGGAGACTCCGCGGCCCACACCATCTGAGATATTTTTCTCTCTAGCCATGCGGAGAAAGAGGTTGCTGACCCCTGTACTAGACTTGCAGCTCCAAGAGGGCAAGGATCTCAGCTGGGTTTTGTTCTACATTTTCCCTTTGCATGTATAAATAAGTGATCACGCTAGCCGTATGGCCTGAGCAATTTGCTTAACCTCCCTGAGCCTTGGGTTCTTCAAGGGTTTAAGGATAACTTTAATGTCAGGTTCTGTTTTGGTGTATGTTGCAGAGTGACCTCAAGCTTCTTCACTCCTGGAGAGCGCCCCTTTGTTCAAGAGTTAAGGGTCCAGGGAGGCTAGGAGCAATGTTAGCCTTTTCTTCAAGGCTCCTGCTGCGATGGAGCAGAGAACAACAACAGCCTTTCTACCCTGAATGGAAGAAGAAGAAGCAAGAGGGGCAAGGAGAGCAGAGGAAACAATTCCCCTTGGAGAGCCCCACAAGAAAGGACTTGTTTGTTTCTTGAATATGTGTGGATTGAGCTATGCTGGGCTCCAGGCAGTGAGTGGGCTCGGTATGGGGCAAGGCCCAATGGTTCTGTGTTCAGATAGGGCAGCTGACACGAGTCGGGTCCCAAGGATGAGATGGTGCATGAAGGCTGAGAGAAGATACGAGATAAAGTA